CAGAGGGAGAGAAAGCTGAAATTGGCGATTATTAAGACAGGAAGTCTAAATCCTACCTCATGCACTTCTTGCGCGACTGGCACCGTGACTCACACGGAGTCGCAATCCACTGCCACTGCTTCCTGTCTCCCAGCCAGCAAGTGTGCCCAAGTAGCTTCAGCATCAGAGAGGACAGTGTCACACAGCTCGGGAATTCCTTGGGTATACTGACCAGACTGCCGTCTTCTGCTTGACCATCCATTCCGACATGCAGAACCCTAGGTTTGCAGATATTACCATGTCATGGGTGCGGGTGCGCTGCTCGCCTGCATACGATGCGGCTTATCATGGGTTTCAAGTCTCATGAGGTAGTATGATTATCAGTCCCGTCGAGCCGTTGAAGAGCAACATTGGCAGCCGGATTATGCAGGAGGTGAAGCGGACTGGAGATGATGCAGTCTGATACTGGCAGAAAAGCTGACCAGAAGTATCGGAATAGACTCGACAGCTAGGGATGTGTCTTCTTTGAACTTGACCGCAGGCGAGGCACAGACTGGCCCGCACGAACTCAAATAAGGGTTCAGGTTCAGGCTCTCGCTGCGGCGGATGGCAGACTGTCTGGCGTGCCGCCGTAGATGTCACTCCAGAACCTCAGGGATCTTGGCAGTCGAACGAGGGGCACCACGGCACACCGCACTCCGAGATCTCTGGCTCTTACCAATAACCAGAGCCCACGGCTCAAGTACGCACCACACAACTTCCTATGTCCCCGTCACCGCGAACTGCACAATGACGATCCATGATGTATGTTGCAGTGGGCTAGAAAGCCACTGCGTCGTTGATGGACGTGGATTTTTGCAAGGCTGGCAGTGGCTGGTTCTCGGCCATGAACCATGTGGTTTTCTTCTTTCTGGACGATTGTCGATGCCGATCTGCGGTAGTAACTAGCTTTGTGAAGTACCGTGGCTACCGAGCATTCGGCCGGTGTGCTCGCAGCCAGCAAGCACGGGCAAAGGGTCTTCTTGTCTGGTCTTGGTCTCTCTTCAGGTCCCTTGCTTCGCGGACGTGGTGTTCCTTGCCTAGAGGTGGAGCACCGGGGGATGTCTCTGGCTGCCATTGCTCGTGTGTGCGTCGATACGTACCGGGTCTGGCGTGACGGGCACATGGCCTCGTCTGGTCTGTGGTCTCGCGTGGTAGATCAGGGCCGACAGATCTGTCGAGGGGTTCCCAGGAAACACACTGTACTTTGTAAGGAAAGGCATTCGTAGACCGACTGGCCTGGCCTGGCCTGGCTTTGGGTCTGGCTAAATCCGCACGGATTATTCGTACAACATCTGAGGCCACACTCCACACTCCCGCGCGGTGGTGAGCTTCTCTGTGGCCTGTCTCGACGGATACCATGAAGCCTACCTATTGGCTTCAAGATGCCATAGAGAGGCACGAGGCACACTTCTCTAGCTCCATGCAATGACCCCGTCCCAATCCTCCCAAGTTTCAGCGGCAGCTTACGCTGCAGGCAGTAGGTAGGCGTCAAGCAAGCAGGGTAGTCGCAACAGACTGAAGAGTTTTGCAATTTTTTTTTTTAATTTTTTTTTTTTAAATTCTTTCTTTGGGAAGAGGTATTTGGTTTCGTGCGTCACCCTACCTATACAATCTCCCATATGATCTCAACTGCCCCTCGAGTTAGGTTAGGTGTGTGCCGGCATCGCATTGCATCCAACAGCGCAGCGCAGCGCAGCTCAACTCTGGAACCCCGAAGGCGATAACGGCGTGGATGCAGCGCAGCGAGCCTGCCTTGAGTTCGCGACGCTCTTGCCTTATCAAATGATTTTCCATCCACGTGCGCTCCTTCCCCGATGCGTGCGTGCTGCAACATGCCAAAAAGCAAGGAAAGATCACAGGAGCACAGGAGGGCATCCAGGGACAGTGCTGCCCTGCCGATAGGTAAGGTAGGCGGCCCCATACCTGCCTCCTATCCCCGGTCCTGCCTTCCCGTTCATGGGTTTTTGAGACCTCCCGGTTGGAAACACCGCACCCGCAGTCTCTTCCTTCCCTCCTGGCCCCCGAGCGCCTCGCCTTGCTTGCTTTACATACATGATACTGCTGCTGAATGTCAGGGAGGGAAGGAAGGGCTGAATTTGTTTTGCAAGCGGAATTGGCAGGTGCTATCTCTGTGTCGTTCCTTCTTTTCCTGTTTCGAATCATCGTCTCCACTCCCAGTCGACGCCCAGAACTCAGATAGGCGAGAGACGCCGTCGTAGCACGGCACGGCAGACTGCGAAAGTGCGACGCTGATGAGGTGCTACACCTCAGCATAGGTAGGAGTTGCGGTGCCCTTCTCCAGCTCGTCCTTCTTCTGCCCATCCATGCCCACCCCTGCCTTCCATGTCTTCCAAACCCCATCTGCTGCAACCACTCACAAGCCGAGCTTGGATCTTGCGAGCTTCCCCGGGACACGTTCCGCTGCCGCTGCCTCCTCTCCTCTCCTCCGTCCTCCTCTTGGAACGCGAGGCCTTCATCCTGTGTGGTTTAAAGCCGCTGGAGAACAGACAATCCTACTCTGCGTCATTCTCCCCCCAACACACAGCAAACACCAAGTAGCTTGCATATCATACCTGGTACATGCATCATCTGCGCTCGCACAAAGAGAAACCGAAGGAGCCTCTCACTTTCTGCACGTCCTCACACACTCGCTGCTCGCTCACACACACACACTCTCTCTCTTTCTCTCTCTCTCCCACACATAGACGCACACACACACACTTTTCAAGCCCTCAAGCAGACCAGCTCATCTACCGCACCACCTTACACACTGCCAGCCAGACAGACACACGCGCCTCCTGGTAAGCACCAGCCCTCAAACGGTGCCAGCGATCGCCGAAAGTCTACAAGACCCCTGAGCCCGGTCGCACTGCTACCACCATCTCCAACCAATCCACGCTCTCTCCTGACGCCGTTGTCCCCTCCAGAGGCTGTGCCACCAGGGAATCCGGTCTAGCACCAAGAGTGCTGGCAGGGGCCTTCCTTCCCCTTCTCTTGTCTCTCCTGCTTCGCTCGCCCGCTAGCCTACGTCCCGCCCTTCAGGTTGTTTTGTCTTGCAATTCCCATCCGTCCATTTCGATCAGAAACTTCCTCCACCACCGCCGATACCACCACCACAACCACACACAGGCCAGCACCACCAACACCACCACCAACCTACACACAACGACGGTACCTTGATGCTCATAACCTCGCTCATACGAAGCACGGTACTTCCTCCACACCCGGCTGCTGGCGCTACAACACTACTGCTGCTGCCCACACTCTTGCTGTGAGCGCCGTCTCCCTGCCTGCCCTCCCATCTCTCTCTCTCTCTCTCTCCCTCTCTCCCTTGGGGGATACTAAGTACATACAGACGCACGCAACAACTCCATCCCACCCACATCCCCTCGACCCGGGCGGGCGCCACTGACAAGGAGGTCGTCGACATTATTCGCCAATTTGTCCATATCAAACACTTTCAAAGAAACGACTTTGACGACCATTCAGCGACAACCCCTCTCAAGGCCCTGCCGTCCTCGAAGCCAAAGATAACGCAATTGTCATTGTCAGGGACCGCTACGAGCTAGTCACTTACAGGCGTCGGGAAACTTCTTGGAGTGGTCGCGTCGCTCCCCACCGGGCAAGGTACACAGAAAGTATACATTTCTACATATGCCTTAGCATTGCCTTAGCCCACACCGAACCCTTCCCAACTCTACGCGATCAGCCTCTGATTGGTACGATACGTCGCTCCCGAATACTCCAGCGGCGGCGCGCAATTGATACTCCACAACAACTTCCTCCCTTGTCCCTCCCCCCAACCCAAGGCCCAAGTCCAACCGTGACTGGGCTGCGGCCTGGACCAGACTCAACGCTCGAACAAGGGCCACCACCCCAAGGGAAACACCGTCGACGCCCCCGGGCCCAGCATCCAGTGGCCACTACGTCCATAGTACGACCGACTCTCGTTTCCACACACCCTCTCTCTCAGCGAGCGTTCAATTAACTGGCCTGCTGCGGGATAAGGTACCTTGGGTACGTTGGCGTGGGATCTTCCTCGATATCCCCCATCTCTCTCATCGTCCATCGTCCTGCAACAACCCTGGGCTTCCGTTTCCCCAAAGTACCTGCTGCATACCTACCGCGCGCCGGTACCCAAGTCCCAGTCCTGGTCTCCGTCCAGTCCCAGAAGCGACCCGACTCTCGAACGCAACCAGCAGCCCAGTAGCATCCACACCCGCAGATGCGTGCTGTTGCTTCCTTCCCCCATGCTCCTTGAACGAAGCAGGCCAGCCGCCCGTCCTCTCCTGTCCTGACGCACCGCACCGCACCGCGGCGCACCCAACCCAACCCATCAAGGCGCGCACACCACACCATACGCCATTCCTCCTGCTCTTCCCTCACCCTCGCACACTTCCCATCAACACACCTTGTCTTTACGTCCCCCCTCTGCCGTCAATACTACCACCACCTCGCGGTACATAGGCACCGTATCCTTTTCTCTCGTCGTCCCCGAACTTTAAGGCACGATATAACCTTGCGACAGCTCATCTCGCACTACTCGCACGCTCCCTCTCCCTTCCCTCTCCACCAAAACCGAGTCCAGCCCCCCCCCCAACTTTTCCACATCGCCCTTGTAGCAGGCTGCATTCTTTTATCGCCCTCTGGCTGGCCGCCCCTCAGAGACTGTCGTCGACGCACGATATTTTGGAGCGCGTTTACGTCCAGCAATCTGCACCCTCCTTCTCAAGTACTCAGGCAATCACTTCTGTGATCAGCGCGATTGTCGCAAGTTTCCAGCAATCTCCCGCAACCACAACGCAACCCCCCGGGAACCACGCGCCAGCGCATGCACCGAACCACCGGCGGATGACCGGCGAGTAAAGGTGAACCAGCCGCGCACACTCAGCCTCATTGGCGATACCTCGACTTTTCTTGAAATGACAACGAGTCGCGCAAGTCCATTCCATCCGACAAATACGATAACGAAGACTGCCATGGCTGCGCCGGCTTTTCTGCAACAATCGCACCCTTTCAGGTCGTCCAACGGCCAACCTGCGTTCCTGTCCTCCGTCAACCCCTTCGATGCGACAAAGCCCGTAGGCACCCCGTTCGCTAACGCAGGTCCCGCCGTTTCTTCCGTCCTCATTCGACGTCTCCCTTTGAACACTTCCGAAGAGTCGCTCCGCCTCATGGTCGTGTGGTCCAAGGAATTGGTGGACGTTGAGGTTCTTCCCGTGGACCATTCGGACGACAAGGGATTCCGATCGGCCATTCTGAAGTTCAGGACCACGAACGGCGCAATCGAGGCGAAAAACATGCTGGACGGAAAGTCCAACATTTCCAACGACGCGAACATGATTGTTGAGATTCTTGGAGGAAGTCCGACCACCTCGAGGCGATACGCCGAGCCTGCAGGTACTGGGCCGTCGAGCACCGCTTCCTCCGCGACATCCTCTGCGCCAACATCGCGACAGCCATCGCGATTCAACGGGGGGTTTCAGCCTCTCGAGAAGATCTCGCCGCCCCTGAACGCTATCTACGGCTCCAGCGAATTGCCAAATCCCGAGTCCAGCGCGCATTACCAGAATCTGTTCTCCCCGCAGTCACCAATCGGAAACCATCTGTCGGAGCGAACTCGCGCCACAGGGAAATCAATGATCAATGACGACGCCGGCGACGACGACGACACTGGTGAGTTGCTGAAGGACCCGGTCGCCTACGCGGAAAACGGCGCCACGTCCCAGCGACGGGCCACCGCCCCACAGCTACCCATCTCGCGTCTGGCCAACCTATCCCTCAACACCAGCTCGTCTTCTGGCCCATCATCTCTGCCGCAATATGGTCAGCAAGGGATGGGGCCGATGTCAGCTCATCCAGCTACCATGTCGCCAACCGTCTTGGGCAGCGGCCCACACGGGGGGATGCCCTTTCACATGGCAGGTGGCCACCCGTACGCCCGGCATAACTTCCCCCCGGTGAACCCAGCCGACCAGAACCCGCCGTGCAATACTCTGTACGTCGGTAACCTTCCCATCGACACTTCCGAGGAAGAGCTCAAGGCTATGTTCTCCAAGCAACGAGGATATAAGCGCCTCTGCTTCCGGACCAAGCAGAACGGCCCAATGTGTTTTGTTGAGTTTGAGGACGTTTCCTTCGCTACCAAGGCTCTCCACGATCTCTACGGCCAGCCCTTGCACAACAGCGTCAAAGGTGGCATTCGCTTGAGCTTCTCCAAGAACCCTCTTGGCGTTCGATCTGGTCAAACTCCCGGCCAGGCCACTTCACCCATGGGGGGCATGATGACGGGTTCTACAAACGGTTTCAAGACCGCCAGTGGGCCCCCTCCTGGCCTCGCAGCTCCCCCAGGCCTAGGCGCTGGCCGCTTCAACGGTAGTTCGACCGCACAGTCGTACACTGTTGCTGGATTCCCCGCTAGCAGCAACAGTAATGTATGGAATGGGTACAGCGGCGCCATGACGGCCGGCGGGCCTGGATCTTTGATGAACGGAAACAACTCCAACTACCTGCCACCTCACATGCTGGGCAGGTAAATGTTCAGAGGATGGGCTAAAGCTGCCCTAGGGCATTGGGACGCACTGTGGCGAAATAATTGGGCGTTACGGTGTTCCTGGATGAATATACGACGACATTGAGGTAACCAGACGGACTGGGGACGGCATCGACGGACAGTCCGTCTCGGGACATTGTCTCTCTACCCAAGCTTTTCAATGGGTTCAGACCCTGGGTTTGCGGCACTCTTTGCCACACGGCGCATACGCATTTACATTGGCATCTCATCTCGGCACTCATCTTCTCATTTCTTACATCAACTTTACACGATTCCCATCTTGGCTTTGAGCGACTGGGCCCTTTTTATGACTCGGAATCGCGTGAGCTTCTCGGGAACGGAAGACGTGCATCAGGAGGCGCTTCGTTATGGGCCACCTCGGTCCAGGGGCGCGGCAACGTCGAGGTTTTGATTGAAGTAGCTCGGTTTAACTCTCGTTTCTCTTATTCCCCCCTTTTTTGTTTTCGATAATGGCGCCGGTCTGGTTTCCTTTCTTTCATTCAGCATGGCGCGTGGATCGGACATTTACTACGGTAGACGAGCTTCGGGGAATCTAGTCTCACGTCCCTGCGGACTATTATACCCTGCGCCAACGACTCGAGGACGGAGTTTCTGGGTTCGATACGTTTTGCGATGCTGTTTTGCGAAGCATTCTCAGGATCTGGGGCAACGGGACTAAGGACAAAGAAACTCGCGGGGGAATGGGATATTCACTGGCACAGCGATTAGCGATTGATGCGTACGGGGGAGCGTTGTGTTGGGTTTTCAGGAGCATGGCATGAGTCAACCAAAAAGAGAAAATGCCCAAAAGCACAGAAGAAAGCGAATGGATTCAAAGTTGATCTAACAGCAAAACCCCTCAAAAGGCACGGAGGCCGAAAGTCATCGTTTTAATCGCGCGCAACGCACACATTTGGGTCATAAAGGACACGGATTTTTAAAGAACGCAAACACGGAAAGAGAGAAGGCGGAAGGGAAGAGAAGGCAGTCTGGCAACGGCGCGTCCTCCATTCTGGGCATGGGAGGCAAGACTGCATCTTTTCCCTCTGTCAGGCACGCACAAAGGCATGGGTACGCATTCAACTGGGGTTCTTGTTTGGCATCAAAGACGGGAAGGGGGGATCACCAGCATCGCGCAAAGCACAATGGTTGGGACACTCTGTGAGCAGGCTGCGTCATGGGGACCGAAGAGGCGGGGTTGGAAGGGTTGTCCTGGCGGGAAGACGCCCATTCCCGGCGTTTTCCCCAATTGTTTCGGTTTTTGACGTGTTTCCTGTGTTGTTTCCTTGCCAATTTTCTTTTTCACCATTGAGAGCGAAACATACCCTCTTATGGGATACTATTAGGCCAAGAAAGGAGTTTGATTTCTGTTGTGACTAGACAAACCGGGACTCAAGTTTGTGCCCATGATCTGGACCCATTGAGGTTGTGACAGCGCGTGACGATCCCGTTCCCGGTGGGAAGGTAAAGTTTTGGTGGGCTAGGTGGGTTCCGCGGCCTGTTTTTCGGTTGGGGGGGAACAGTGACTGCCAACACCTTCCTGTCTCGAGAACCGCCGCCGCCACCACACCGCCCCGCTTGATGGACAGGAACCCGAAGCTGGGCCGGGTGGATGATGGATTACCTTACCTTGCTTCACGTCGCACAAGGTCGGAAGGGCCCCGTCTTTGGTCTAGTCGCGTCGCCGCCCTTTCGCGCTCGCGCGCGCGCGCGTCCACGATGTATTTTCGGGGGGCCGAGGAGGGATATCCCTGAGCCCACCCCGAGTTACAGTGTTTGCATTGCCGCGGGTTTTATTTCCCCCCCTGTGCCAGTTCCGTTACCATCGGTGGTCCCCTAATTTTCTTGGTCCCCTTCTGAATTGCCTGAGCCTTACGCTATCTCTGTCTATCTACCCCGGATGATCCAGCGGGAAAGATGGGGACGCGGATTTTTTTTTCCTTTCGGCAGTGTCTTGGCGTTTTACTCGCTCGACCCTTTCGTCTTCTTTCGAACTCGTGATTTTTTAAGAGTGCATCTTGCGGACACGAAGACAAAAGTTGGGCATTGCGTTCATCGACTCGTCATCGGCGTTTGTATTGGACTTTGTCTGCTGCACATGCTTTCCATCCAGGTTGTTTTTGAGGAGGCGCGGTGAAGCCATAACGACGCCTTGGAATTTGACTTCCCCTCAACACTATGGCGCTCAACGACTAAGACTACGGACTACATTATCTTCATTGACGCCTTCTGCGCCGCATCAAGTATGGATGGATACATGGTCAAAAAGGCAAAAAGAATCTCCTCGACGGGGAATTGAACCCCGGTCCCCGGCGTGACAAGCCGATATCCTCACCACTAGACTATCGAGGATTGGTGTTGTCGTTGGATAGATCAGTAATCCTGGTGGTTGAGAGCCACACCAAAGCGGGCAAGCGGAGGTCCTCAGCTCAGATGCTCCGATTTCAAGCACTTTGAAAGTGATAAGATGAAGAAATAAAAGAAAATAAAAGAATTCAGGGAAATGTTCTCTGTGGTTTTAGTATATATTTACAACTGTATTTCCTTTTGTCTCTGTCCTCATCTCTGTCCCGCCTTGTCTAGTCTTTTCTTAGATGGTGAAAGAATACTGCCCACGCAAATCGCATGTGAATTCCAAACATCACGCATAAACATCACGTAGTCTCGATGCATGTTTGGTTCTTTGTGAGCAATCACCTGTCATAGTCTTCAAAGACCGCAGAATTTCGACGATGGAACGTCGGTGGAGTAGGTTTCCGCTTTGGATCATGCTGCCTCTACTCAGAAATAAGAAAAGTGCCATTTTGGCAGCGTGCATCTCTCAAAGGATACTACAGAAGGAATTACTGTCTCGTTGGCAGAAAAGCTCCCCTCCCACGACCACCCATCGCCCGTATCTACGTGATTTGTGACTGAATGGGCCCCCCGACTTGGCAACCCGGATCCAGCGATGTGCATCATCAAACGCATCTCCTTGCCGTCTAGATCCCGCAGGCGTGCGGTCCGAAGGCCGCAGCACACCCGGCCGCCTTTTTCTGGTCCATCGTACGATTGGTCTTATTCCCGTTATTTTTCGTCCCCATCGATTGTGCTCTAATACGTCCGCGGAGCAGTTCCGACTTACTCTCCACCGGTGATCTGCCCGCCAGGTGCCATGTATGTCTTGGACCGTTCGCCGTCGCGTTCGATTTGCATTTCTCAGATCTGCTTCCCCGTCTAGAGAGAGGGGTTTTTGTCGGGCGGCTAGGAGATATAATGAGATGGAGCGAGCCGCAAGCGCGCGCGGGATGTGACGCAACACGGGGGGATTCTCTCTTCTTTCTTCCTTTTTTCGTCTTTTATGTATTTTCTCCTGGGCTGTATATCTGACAGCGCGATCGTAATTGTTTCTGGAAAAGGACTGGACGTTAAAGACGGCGATTTCCTGTTCGAAATGACAGGCCAACAGAACCTGTAAAAAGCGAAATTTCCGACACGAGAGGATGTCCGAGAAGGCGGCGTCTCGACGCAGTTCCAAAGCCGGTTCGCCAGCCGCAGCGGCGTCCTCCCCGCCAGCGGTGACGGAGGGCCAGATCACGGCGCACCTCGACGTCGAGATTGACGCGGAAGATGTGGGGAAAGCATTTACCTTGATTTGTGTTTGTTCTCACGGCTAAGTGTCTGTTACTTACAGCCCGCGGATAATGATAGTGTTTTCGACACTGCGAGTGTAAGAGCGCCGGGCTTTCATACCACAATAGCAGAGGCTGACTTGTCGGAAGCTCGCCTCTTCAACCACCAGCGTCAACAAGTCGATTCTCAACTACCGGACGGAGAATGGGAGGACGTATCACAGGTATAAGGAGGGCAGTGAGTCTTCTGCACAAGGTCCGCCGTCGGTAGATACGCGCTGACATTGCCTTGAAGAATACATGTATCCCAACGACGAGCAGGAAGTCGATCGACTGGGTATGCCTCATCCAGGTGACTTACACCCACAGCTGCTGACCAGTTTTTTCAGATCTTCAACATAACATGTACCTCCTCACATTTGATAATAGGCTCGGCACGGCGCCGCCGAACGATATGAGCTCACACATAGGGCGTGTGCTCGACTGTGGTACGGGGAGCGGAATCTGGGCCATCGAATTCGGGGACGAACACCCGGAGGCCGAGGTATATCTGGACCAGCTCCGGCGGACCTGACTTGTGGCTGACGATTTCGATGTGCCAGGTGCTCGGGGTTGACCTCTCTGCGAACTTCCCAGAGTAGTAAGTCTGCCCAAGCAAAGTTGCCTTCAAGTCATGTAAGCTTAACACATCCAGTGTCCCGCCGAATGTCAAGTTTGAGATCGACGACATCGAGGAGCCATGGACGTGGTCGCGCCCCTTCGACTACATCCACAGCCGGATGATGACGTCTGCTATCAACGACTGGAGGGCATATCTCGCCCAATGCTACGAGTGAGTGGCCAATAGAAGTGCTCGTTGTCACGTTCATACAGCAGCTGACGCGAAACCCGATAGCCATCTCAACCCTGGGGGCTACCTCGAGCTTAACGACGCCGACGTGAACCCCTTATCCGACGACGGCACCCTCAAGCCCGACTCCGCTCTGTCGAGATGCATGTGCATGATGGCAGAGGCCTCGGAGATCTTGGGCCGCCCGTTTGTCGATGTGCAGGGGTTAAAAGACGTCATGGTGGACGTGGGTTTCGAGGACGTTCATGTCCACCGTTTCAAGTGGCCCACGAATCCGTGGGCGAGACATTCAAAGTACAAAGAGCTCGGTTTCTGGTGCGAGGAGAACTTTGCCGGGAATTGGGAAGGTATTATCATGGCGCCGTTCACGAGGGGGCTGAAGTGGACTAGAGAGGAGACGATGGTGTTTGCGATGGAGGTGAGGAAGGAGTTGAAGGACAGGAGTATCCATGCGTACTTCTCCATGTAAGTTGTATTTGAGTTGTGCTGGCGGCGGTACTGACTTGACACATAGATGGTCGA